CTTTATCATGTTTTTACGGTTCGGTTCGAAGTTTACAGAGCGCATTTCGTATTCTGTTCTGACAAAAAAGCAAGTAACACGCGAATGCTGGATGGAAAACTACAAAAATTTAGAATGATTTCGATAAAGAGAAAGAACAGGTTTTATAAATAAGATTTTAAAAAATAACTTCTTAGATTTTTAATAAAAATAGAGGGATTGCTGAAATAAGTTGACCTACAGTCTATATTGAAGTCATGTACGTATAATAAGCTTATACACATGTATGTGTTTGGTTATGCAGTGAAATCTTGGACGTCAAGTCTCAACTCTGATATCTCGACACCTCGGATATCTCGACATTTTCCGATGGTCCCGTCGATGTCGAGATAACGAAGTTTACCTGTATATTCAATGCCTTTGAGTAATATTAAATTGATGCTTATTTTTATGCACCATTTTTTCTTTAAGCTCATTTCAGATATATGTACTGCTCTGAACGATAAAAATTGTATAGTGTGCCAAACAAGATCAAAATAATGATTTATGAACCATCACAAATAAACAAATTAAAAAAAAAAGCATTCATCCGGTAATATTTGACCTATTAAAGAAGTTGTTTGAAAATAATTACAAGGCAATTATTAAGAAACTTTCTTCTCCTTAACAGAATCATTGATTGAATCGATTCAAACTATTGCCTAAAAATGGCAATAAAACATTGCAATTTCTTCTATGTTAAATTTATGTCAAAACTATATCCATAACCTAAAATGTTCATTTAAGTGCATGACATCTAAAAATCTGAATGAAAAGATTAATTTTACATCTGCTTCCATTAGTTGCATTAGGCTCAGTACATACATTATTTACAACTAAAAATGTTCCTCTGTTTGTGAGAATTACTGTCATGTACTGCAAGTTTGTCTCTTCTCTTCCTGGAAATAACAGGATCCAGTGATACAACCAGGCTGATCATAAAGTTATGCTTCTATATTTGTACCATATGCAGTCAACAGGATCAAATTATGTTATTTGTTATTTTAATCTATTATTAATTCATACCAGTCAAATAGGCAAAAAACAACAACAACAACAAACACATACTTTATAGCTAATTTTTAAGCCTATCAAAATATTAAAGACTTCATTTTCTCCTGTGAGTCATTTTAAAATTCGCCAACTGTTGTGAAAATCTATAGTCCTGACTATCAAAAAAAAATTACCACAATGAGTATGTAGAAAAACTTTACATTATACATCAGAATCAACCATAAACCCATTTGTCAGTTATTAAAGCAACAGATACGAGGAACATATTGATGTGTGATCTGTAAAACAGCTTTCAGCAGAGCCCGTGTGTAGAAGTTCCAACTCCCCGTCGATTCTCATTCGGAAGTCACTTGGAATTACTTGGAAGTATTTGGAAGCATTTGGAATTCCAAGTACTTCCAAGTCATTCAGAAGAATTTTTTTGGAAGAATCTGAATTTAATTTGGAATCTATTTGGAACCATTTGGAAGTGCAGAGATGAAACTTAGTCTATATGTTTAATGAGCAGATGTTATGTTATCAGGTGATCGGGTTCGAGGTCTTGTCTCGGGCTCGACCTCGTGGATTTTGAAATCAGGCGGTTCAAACCTAAACAGTGTTGCATCATGATCGCATAAAAAAGGATTGATCTTCTATGAAGTATATGTAGTGCAATGGAGATAATTAACATCTTTTAAGTTCATGACTCGGTGGTATCTAAATCTTCATTTTATGTCGCACTTCTCTTTGAAAAACAGTTAGACCGTATCGGATTGATCATTGCTGAAACTGTGAAAAGTGTCTTTTTTTGGAATTACTTGTCATGTCAGTGCGTGTGCTGATGATAATACAACGTGTTCGACTTTTATTACATCCGTAAATACATGAAGCCAGGAAATACCTAAATTACCGCTATTCTTCATTTGTGACTTGGATTTGAATTTTGCAAAAATATCTGTAAATATTTTAATTAAAAACAGTTTTACATGATAATCTTTAACCAGGAAGGTTTGTCTTTTTCAAATGCAATGGATATTAAACATTAAATGATGCCAAAAGAATAGTGTTTTGTATGATATGTATATATTATCAAATCGCTGGTTGTTTGTTATCTGAACAACATGTTTAAATATAAGCCAATGAAATCTTGTTTTTATTTGTTGAATCACATTTGTAATAATCATTCGGAAGTCATTTGGAAGTAACTTGGAAGTCATTTGGAAATTTCTAGAAAAATCTGAGTTTTAGTCATTCGGAAACAACTTGGAAGTAACTTGGAAGTCATTTGGAACCATTTGGAAATTTGTTCCAATACTCCGAATGGTGATTTGGAAATTCCAAATGAAGAATTCCAAGTGATTAACTTGGAAATTCCAAATGCAACTTGGAACTTCTACACACGGGAAATGACAGGGATGAGCAATTTTGAGTTGTTACATCTGACAAGTTAATACATTTTAAAACTACAGACAATGAAAATTGCTTCCCTATAAGCCTGAATTCATTATATAGGTGTGTTCACTGTAACCGTTTTACTGTACATGTACCATTTCTGGTTTTACAATCTTTAATAAATATCGTTTATTATTAATTACTAGTACCATATTTTCAAGTTATCTGACATTTTTATCGTACATTATAAGTTCCTCATGTTCTTCGTACACCCTCATGCATCCTCAACTGCAAATGAATTAAATTTTGACAGATTAGCTTAAATTGTTTAAAAGGGCAATCTAAATTTTAATAACAAAAACTAATTTTTTTAAAATGTGTAAAGGTTTGGACCGTTGATATTGACCTAGATAGCTCAGTAGTTAGAGCACCTGACTAGTGATGCAGGGGTCCTGGGTTCTATTCCCAGGTCTAGCCATACAATTTCTCCTTTTCCTGTTACATAATTTGGTGCCATTGACCACCCTGGACTTGCAGGTAAAAGTCTTGCCAGGGGCATATGGAACTTAGGTTGGGTCTTCGAGGGCAAAGACAATTTAAGGAGAAAGTAATGTAATGGTTTGGGCCATGGATATCGGCCTGGGTAGCTCAGTGTTTTGAACACCTGACTAGTAATGCAGGGGTCCTGAGTTCAATTACAAGTCCAGCCATATATTTTCCCCTCTACTGTTACATAATTTGGTGCTTTTGAGCACCCCTGGACTTGCAGGTGAAAGTCCTGTCAAGTGCCTATAGAACTTGGGTTATGTCTTTGAGGGAAAGAGAATTTAAGGAAGAAGGAATGTAATGGTTACAGCAATGGATATCTGCCTAGATGGTTCAGTGATTAGAGCACCTGACTAGTGTTTTGGGGGTCTTGGGCTTGATTCCAGGTCCAGCTATACATTTCCTCCTTTTCCTGTTACATAATTTGGGTGCTGTTGACCAACCCTGGATTTGCACGTGAAATTCCTGCAAGGGGCTAAAAGAACTTGGGTTGTGTCATTGAGGGTGAAAACAATTTAAGGAGGGAGGAATGTAATGGTTTGGGCCATGAATATTGGCCTGGATAGCTGATAGAGTTGGTAGTTGGTAGAGTGCCTGACTAATGATGCAGAGGTCCTGGGTTCAATTCCTTTTCTGCTACACAGTTTACAATTCATTTAATAAGCCCTCATTGATATTTTTTCCCTACACCATCATCAAACAATGTGTATAAACAATCTGATAATTTTGCATTAACATATATTTTTTGCAGTCTTATCAATTGCTATAGACTGATTTTTGGGAATTTATAAAAACTGTGCAATGTAAAAAGTACAATTTAGCACTTACATTATGTATAATCACATTTTCGGCCCTAATACATAATTTATGTACATTATTTTACCATTGAATACTGATTTTATTTACCAGTAAATCTATTCTGACAACCAGTTTATTATTGTGACATCTCATTACATCATTGTGACATCACCAACATGTTTTTTCTAAAACTTTTACAAAACAACTCAAGAGTTAAAAAGTATAAATGTACATACATAAGGGAAACAGGTGTGGGATGTCATATCTGTGTTAATAAAATTTTGCTGAATTTTGAACAAGGCACATGGGAACTTCAATCAAAAGCATCATAACAAGGATGTATATACTAAGTATAGTATATACATTCTTGATTATATGAAAATATACTTACATATTTCACTTTCAAAAAAGCTTATGTGGGGGTAATTATGTATAAATTATGTTATTTGAATAAATACTTTACTTAAATGATACTTGAAAATTACTAGTAAATTGTATCTAGTATGTGCTTTTGAACTTTGATTTGTAAAACTGGGTTAGATATGTAGGATGAAAGAATGCAAAAAAAAATAAATAAATAAATAAATTTTACATCCAAATAGTCATTCAATTTTATTAGGGTAAACAAAAAATATATAACATTGAAGGCCAGGTATATTCCCATACATTTGGCCCAAACATAAAATCGGTTAACTTTTGCACATAACTTAACAGTTTCTCAAAGCACTGATGATTCACTGGTCCCACAGAAATCTTGAGAATAGAAAATTTACTTATCACCTGCTGTAATATCAAATATTTTTATGGGGTCAAATTTTGAGGTTTGGGGGGAAAAATTTGATTCATGGAGATTTGATTTTGTAGTTGGAGAAGTGTAGAGTTGTTATATTATTGAAATTTTACATTTCGTGGAGGACATGGATTTGTGGGACTCTTAAAAACAACAAAAATTAAACCTCCATGAAATCAGTGATTTTCAGAGTATACTGTAAATTTCCAGTATCCCTGTATGTATCTGAGATTTAAGTTTGAAAACGCAAATGAAAAAAATCTTTTTGAAATAAAAAAAAAATTAATACTGCCAATGCCAGAACACATGATACCAATTTCTCTGCATATTTCTAAACATTTTGAATCCTGCTTCAACACTCTTAATATCATGCACATAAAAGTGCACAGGTTATTTCTTCCCCTTGGTTAACACCATTTTGCTGTATTTTCATAGTATTTGATTCAAAATTTATTTTCTGAGAGATCCGATTCTGGAATGTTAATTTTTATCACTTTAATTGAGTCAGTTCTCTGCAGGTGTGTCTTCTATTTGCACATTTTCCTGTGGTCCTGGAAAAAAGTCCTTGGTGCTGAAAATTTCAGGGGGGTTGAAAACTGCCTTTTTGTCTGATTTTGAAACTGTTTTTTTCTGTGAAGAAAGAGTTAGATATAATTTACCCAATGGCATTCATGCATTATTAAATCAAAAAAATGTTAACTTACAACATGAAATCAATATAAAATTCTAAATACATCAGGTCCTCAATATTTCTGCAAATATTATCTTTAAATACCAGAGATTTGCGGTATTTTTTAAAACTCCTACACTCTGACTCAATGTTGATATTGTATTTACTGACATTCATGTATTAATAAAACACAAAAATATCAATTTCACAAAATGAATAAGGATTTTTGTTTACTTAAAGCCCTAAATATATTTTTGCAAATCATTTCTTTAAAAAAAAAAATTGTTGTTGTTTGTTTGGTTGGTTAGATTTTTTCCCCCAATTCCTATTACTCACTGGTCCAACAAAGGAAGAAAGCATCTTCTTCAGACCACTTAGGGATCCCATTTCATCCTCTGCTTTGTTAACACACTCCTCTAGCACACTTACATTGGTTTTCACCATTCCCACAAAGGCCTGTAATGTTAACATAAACCTATAAATGGCATGATATTTTTAGGGACGTGACTTAGTGGGTATAAATACAAGTATAAAAATATGAAGAGCAGCTCTGAAATTAAACATTCATACAAATGACTTAATATTAGGATGTTTGACTAAGGGTAGATAACTTTCACAGTGCAAAAATCAATGTCCACATTAAATTTATGAGAGTTTTGGGTCCTATTTTTATTTTCCTGTCATATTCAATATACTGGTATGCATGATTTATTAACCCCTTTTCCAAATTAGCATAATTAATGCTTTGTAAACTGTTTGGCAGCCTCACACAGCATAAAATTAGGGAAAAAAATGACAATAATAATTAAATATGTTTATTTCATTCTGTATTCTATTATGTTACCTCTAATTTGTCAATTTTCTCAAATATTTCTTGCATCTGTGTACATTTTGTCTGTATTCTAGGTAGTGTTTCTGTTAAACATAGATTAGTATCTGCTCTAATCTGAAAAAAAGAACACTTTTAGAGGCTAAAAAGTATATACTAGAAAATTTAAATGAAGAAAAGAAGAAGGAAATAACAGACTAAAAGACCAATTCAAATTTTTTTCTCCTTCATTAATTAGATTATTTCTAAGGTGGATAAAATTTGATTTGTTTAAACTGGCTTAAAAAGTCTTTATGGTAGATTATAGATTTGCATACCACCAAAACCACCAAAAAGGATTACATTTCAATATCTGTAATTTTCTGATGAAAAGATCTATTGATTTTAGGGATGTCAACAAATATTCGAACATTCGAATATTCATTTGATGAGTTGATATTCGAATATGATTTTAAGATTCAAATATTCGGTGTTTTTCAGATTTCATAAAAAGTACTGTGATTAATAAATTCTGATTAGAACAGTGCTGGAATTATCCCTGTTTAATTTACTAGTGATTTCGATCACCCGATTTCTTTCACTACTTTCTTATCTTATAAATCTACTAAATTATTTTGTTTTGAGTAAGATTTTAAAGAATTATACAATAATGCTTTATGTATAATATGAATTGTACTTTCATAGATTTTATTAGTTAAATACGATCGGATCTAGAATCGAAGACAACAAAATGAATACCTTCTTAGAATGTCTAAAAGACGTGAAGAGTATATACTTATCAAAATAAATTTAATTTATAATTGAATGACTGTCCGATAGAATTAGTCTGTATTAAATATTGTAAAGGGCTCAACTTCAGAATAAACGTGTAAATTACTAGATTATCTCGGGTTGTACATAATACTGAATTTTATATTCATTATCTGTTCAGGAGATTAGTTAATAATATTACCTAGGGAAATTGTCTATGGAAAAATTTGTTTATATAAAACATTGTATCAAAGATTATAATCACATCTCTTATTAGGCTGATAATTGTAATTAATTACACGTATTGACATCTGAACAGTATATGACTTTCCTTTGGTAAGACAACTGGTTCCTCAGTTGGAGCTACTATAAATACACATGTATCATTTATTAAAATTATATTTTTTACATTTTAATCAATTATTTATTTCAAACATTGAAAAATATCAAATGGAATTCCTTATTGTACACCTACAGAAGTCTTCTTACAATTTACTTCCAACTTCCTACACTAAACCTTTCATGAAAGTAGGATGATGTATATTTAAAATAAACCAGATTTTATTTATTTTATTGAATATTCGAATACTTTCATTGAATATTCGAATATGAATTATTGACAAAATTGACATCCCTACTTGATTTCTGATCAATTATATTACCATATCAACTAAACCACAGAATTCCTCTAGCTTTGTGAGCATTCCTTCTATATTCTCATTGAATTTTTCTTTCTGAAAAATAATATTCATACATAATCAGAAGGAAACTGACACTGTGCACATGCAATTTTGCCAACATGTTTACCGGTTTAATGAGCTATAGCACTGATTTAATAATTCTAATCTCTTAATGAACCAGTTGACAAGTATTATGGTTTCTGTTTTATATCTGTAAACCTTTCTTCTTATAAAAATTTAGTTAGATGCAAATAACATCCTATTAACTATAAATGTAATTTTATGTACAGCCATGAATTCTTTCTGGTAAAAGCAGTATTGTTGCAGATTGTATTGTGTCATTTTTCACCGGTCGAAGTTACCCACTGACTCCAAATTCATGCAGGGGTAACTCTGGCCAATATCTGTTCAGCTGATTTGCATATTAATTGTAAAAACTTAATATTTTAAAATAAACATGTACAAATAGTTGCAAAAAACAAATTTGATTAATGTCACGTCAGGGATAATCATTGATTAACTTTCTATACAGATATTGTCAAAAGTGATAATTTCTCTTAATAGCTAATACCCCAGTAAACACTCATTCATAATTTTTTTGGTGATAAAGTTTCTTCTTGGATATCATTATATTCCAGTAAGCAACTTACTTGGAAATAAAATCATTATCAACACATTAAAAATGCAGTTTGTTTTCTGCATGAAATAAATGTATGTACACAATAATCATGATAATAGGTTATAAACAAAACATTTTAAGGATCATGATCGGTCGAAATTAACCAGGTGGTCCAGATTACAACAACCTACCCTAAAGGCATTGTTACTCAAGGAGATAATTACGCAAAATCTTTCTAATCCCATATTTTTTGGGTAAATTACCCCCACGTGTTAATTTTCATGATTACAGTAGCAGAGATTTTAAACCCTGCCTTCAAAAATACCTGGTCTGTGTACCCCTGTCAATCAAGTACATTATGATCCATCATTGGATGCTAGAACTTGATTAACATTTACTTACTAGTCCCTGTGTATACCCTGTACACCTTGTTTGGCACTCATGGCTACCTTCAACAGTTCAAATTAACTTTTAATTTACCGCACATGGTATACAGAAACTGTATTACTATGAAAATTTTTAGCATATCATATCATTCAATAGCACATAGGTACTTACTACTTAGATACATGTATTTATAATAATTAGTCATAAACATCCAGTCTATACTTTTTCCCCAAAAACGTAATTTTCAAAGTGCCCCTCCCCCTTATAAGAAAGGAAAATAACAAGGAAATGTCTATTGTAATGTACCTCTTTGGCAGAGTCAAACTGAGTGTAATTGACATAATCAGTTGCAAGATCTTCAATAAAGCTATCAGGTGTTTTTTCTTGGGATTCGGGGCTGCTTTCTGTCTCTGAAGCAAGATTAGTGTCTTCTTCCATGACTGCTGACAAACATATACTTTATGTACCTCCTACCTCACAAGAGTGTCAAAAAAGAAAGACAACTCTTGCTCTTGTTCCACATAAATTTTACGGGCTTTTAAAAGTCAAAATAAAATATATATTTTATTTTTTCTTTAACATGTCATTAAAACCTTAAAGACCAATTGGTATTTTCCATCTTTTCAGCTGCCATACATATATAGATAATATTTCAATATTTTGCATGTCATTGAAAGCAATTTCACAGTCTATATCAGATACTGCTGAATTATTAGTTTGTATCTTACATAGTAAAAGCAGACTGAGTAGAACCAATTTATATTATTCGTTAGGTCATCTTTAAAAAAAAGTGTTTGTTTGCCCTTGCCCGACCGATTAAAATTGACCAGATTTGAAACTTTTTTACCTCCAGGAAACAGAGTATTTTTTATTCATTCTGAAATTTTTCCACCCCATTATTAATTATTCTAACTTCATATTCGCAAGTTTTTCTTAAGGTTTTGCCAAAGGTCAATATGTTCAAAAATTTATTTTTACAAAATAGCTTCAAAACTATGTGGTTTATAAAGTTAAAACTTTTACAGATTATAAATATATCACTGATTAACAGATAGAAAGTATCACTTGATAACAAATACTTTAAAAAATATTTATCGAGAAAAGTTCTTTAAAAAAAAATATGCATATATTTTTAAAAAATACACCTAATTAATTCCGTACTTTTAGTGAAAGCCATCACTGAAGAAACAATATATGTTTATCAATGAAGGGCAAGTTTGACTTTGATAACCTCTGGGAAGTTGTTTTCCCTGTTTATTTTGTCCAAATGTTAAGATTTGAAACCTAAAGTTCATTGCAAATAACAGATTTTATAGGGGTCTTGTCTTAATTATACAGGTCATGCTTTCAATAAAAGCCTTTCAGAGACCATTCACGTCCAACTTAATGCCCTTCATTGATAAACATATATTATTTCTGCAATGATGGTTTTCACTAAAAGTACAGAATTAAGCAAGTGCATTTTTTTTTTTAAAATATGCCAATTTTTTTGAAATTTTTTCTCAAAAAAATTTTTTTTTTTAAAGTTTGTATTAAAATGATACTTTCTATCTGTTAATCAATGATATATTTAGAAACTGTAAAAGTTTTAACTTTATACCTCACATAGTTTTGGAGCTATTGTAAAAATAAATTTTTGGACATCTTGACCTTTGGCAAAACCTTAATAAAAATTTCCCACTACCTACCTACCCATGCATTTTTTTTTATATCCTGAGTCAGGATAGGACATGAAAACAATTTTTTTAAAAGATGGCCTTAATTACAATGATAATTCCTAGCTGAATGTGTATCTGTAATTATTTTAGCGGGATATTTTGGTGTTTTTGGTGCAATCCTTTGTTTGTTATAAGAATATAATTCTAGATTAAATTGCCACAAATAGTTCATGTGATGTTCACATACATTTAAAAGTTTTGGACATGGATTAAATACTCATTCATTACCAACAATAAAATAAGTCATTATTTTGAAATTTTACTGTACACTGACTGACATTAAACACATTTATAGCCCTTTAAAATATAACTATCCTTCTATATTACTGTAAGTTGTTGTATTATACACAGAGTCCTTCACAAGACAGCTAATTTGAGCCAAGTCCTGAATGGTTGCACTTTGGGTAACCTCTGCCTCGTTAGCAGCAATCTGGATAAGATTGGCCGGTACACCTGAACCCTGAATGTTTAACAGAACCGAACCAGGATCCCCCTCCTGTTGAAGTTGAATATCACTGGAGTTTAGGAGTACTCCTTGATTTTCTGTGAAATAAACTGCAGGTGCTGTTGCCTCCTTCTTCTCTTCTTTTTTCATAGGTAAAGGATCCACAGTGACTATATTCTGATCCTGCAGCTGTACTGTGCTACTGTTGGAAGGAGGGGGGAGGTGGAAGGTAATCATGTGAGTAGTAACTTGTCCGGAATTCTGAACAGGAGTCATGTGACTATCGGCTCCCTGGACAGAGGGTTCCTGAGAAATGGCATTCATGGCACAAGAGATCAGCTGTGTGATGTCTTGAGTTACAAGTCCTTCTCTCATCAGCCGCTGAAGGTCCTCCTCCCTTATGCTTCGCTCCCCTGATTCTGACATCTCCACATGCATCTGGATTTGATTACCTGGATTTTCTACATTGCCCCCAACAAAAACAGGTGCCTGCTCCCCAGCATTGACTATCTCTATATGTGGAACAGACTGGCTGATATTCTGAATTCTAGGCGCAAATGTAATGTTTTCAGGTTTCTTCTTCACTGAGGTAGTTGGGATGAGTCCATTTTTATGATCACGCACATGATCTAAGTACTTTTGTTCATTTACTGACTTGTATGTACAAAACTCACAGCAGAAGATTCCATGAGCACCAAAATGTTTGTTCTTCATGTGAGTCTTGAAGCAGATGGCCTGTATACAGGAGTAGGGACAGTGGGGACACTTGTATGGCTTCTGTCCTGTGTGGCGCATCTTGTGGCGCCTCAGAGAGTTGTGGTCTATGGAGGCATAGTTGCAGACATCACACCTATAAATCAGGAAAATAGAGAAACATTCTTCATTCTGATACCAAGGAAATTGAAATTGTCAATAGATTTTTACCCACAGTAAACATGATTGAACAAATTCAACAAAATACTGGGTCCTTTTCATTACAATTATATATATATAAAAAAAAAAAAAGACAAAAAATAAGATCCTTCAAAACCTCATCTGAATCCATCTAAATGCAATACTTCTGGCCTCATTCTGGTGCACTTACTTGAATGGTTTTTCCTGAGTGTGAGTCCTCATGTGTAGTTCCAGCTGAGCCTTTCTGGCCGTGGTGTACTCACACACCGTACATGAGAAGGGCTTGTGGTTCCCATGCACCACCTGAAGGTGGACCTGTAGACATTTTTTGCTCACAAATTTGCGACTACAGATTTCACATTCTTGCTCACTGTACCTGGTGACATAGAAAATGAAGACAGATGCATTATTAAGGCTGTGCATTTCAGTGATAATTAATACTGTAGATCACCGAATTTTCGCTACAATTTATTTTCGCAAGATAGTTATACGTTATTTATAGCCAGACAAAATTTTCATGAATTCTGGTTATTATTAAACGATATCTTTTAGAGTAAAATTTTAAGTACAGACAGTTTTGTGTAATTAAGTGAAATAAAAATTCTTTGAATAAAAAGTGATTTACAGCACATGTACATGTAAATAATTTATGAAATTATTAATCCTGATTATATGGTGGTGTGATAATAATGATTCAATATAATACCGGTAATTAATTTTTCATCATTCTTTCTTTGGGAATTTTTTTTTTATATACCATTTGTCACTGTTTTTATTGTCACTATGCACCATCTGATGGTTTCTCATCTGCGCCAGTTGTCGAAAGTGCTTTCCACACGTATCACAAGAGTATGGCTTGTCTTTACTGTGTATTTCCTGGTGGACCTTCAATCGGCTAGCCGTATCAATTTTATAGTCACATTGATCACAGGTTAACAAGTCTGTGTCTATCTGATGGACTTTCCACAAGTGCAGACGTACCAGACGCCATCTGCTCTGTTGTTGCTGGCACTCAGGACACATGAAAACCTCTGGCTTATCTGTGTGACATTTCAGGTGAATTTCTAATGCTGCCTTGGTCAGGAATCTGGCATTACACCCCGGTTTTCCACATTTATTTTGGTAACTTGGGGCATGTTTTGGTTGCCTGGGTGTGTGTTCACTTTTATTAGAATCACTCATTCTCGTCTTTCCAAGGTAATAGTCATTCTTCAGTGCCTTGGGAGGACAAATTTTACCACGAGTACGACTGCCCTTACTGATGTATTGGGTCTCTGACTCAATGGTCCATTCTACGTCGGAATCATTCAAATCTGTTGCTTTCACCTCCTCAGATTCACTTTGGATGCGTTTTTGATTCTTTCTCCGTGAAGTGGTCTCAACTTGAGTCCCCACGCTCACTTTTCCATCTTCAACTGTGACGTTATGTTCTTTATACATATGATCTTGACATTCTTCCATGCTGGTGAATCCAGTGTTACACTGACCGCAGAGGAACAACTCTTTTGTGATTGGCTCTGTACCTGTTGTGGATGTCCCTGTTTCAACAGTGATGAAGTTCTCAGTAGAATCTAACACTTCTAGTCCCTGAACGTTGTTCTTCATGACAACTGACTGAGCCATATTTTCAATGTTTCCATTTTCTAGAGATAATTCCACAATCTTGCCATCTATGTCAAAGGTTAATTTGTTACTTGTTTCATTAACAAAGTTTGCATCTTCTGCAGGATTTTCACTGTTTAAGATCTCAGTATTTTGCTGGTCAGCTTCAGTGATGTCTAGCCTGGTTTCTATGTTTTCTGCATCTATTTCATTCAGAATTCTACTAGTGGGTGCTTTTTCCTGGCTTTCAAGCTGGGCATCTTGGGAAATCACCATGACATTTGCCACTGTCCCGCAGCCAAGAGCATCTGGTGTTCCTGTATCTGAATTCTGAAATACAAAGTGATACTGTCAGCAATTGATAAGTGATACTGTCAGCAGTTGATAAGTGATACTGTCAACAATTGATAAAATCTTTCTTGAAAAAATGTCAATTTTCCCTTTAATCATAATGTTTTCCTAGCAACATATTTATGAAGCATTCACAGGTAGAGTTCTGGATGGGTGTGATCTATATTTTTTTCCTAGAGAGAAAGTCTAGCACTTCAGTAAGTTAAAATGACATGCACATACAAAATTGTGAAATTTAAATTTAAATTGTTCACTTTTATGCTGTCTTTGCTGTGAACCCAAAGCCTTCCCTACCAAGTGGTTATACAAAGTTGGAGGAGGCTACTTTGCAGGTTTAATTAGAGAGAATCATACAACAAACTCCCGATAACCCTAATAAAGGTATATCTCCAACAATGTACACACACGGAAAAAGAGATAGGTATGGCTACCTAATTCAATAATCCCTGAAA